GCACGGGGAGACCTGTCTGGACCACAGGGTGAGCCCCTGTCACCAACAAAACAAAACAAAACAAAAATAAGTAGTTAACAAACTACCATTCACCAGGCTACCTCCAGCTCCCGGGGAGATTATTTTGTTGTTTATTGAGTAAATAGCAAGTTATGTGTAAGCTTTGGGTTTCTCCACAAAACCTAACCTGAACCAGTAATGCTGGCCCCACATTCTCACAGGCACACCAGCCAGTTGGTGCTGAACAGAGCCTGCCCCCCTCAGCTGGGAATGCCACTTGTCCCAGCACTTGGCCACTAGTTTAGAGACACAGAACTGGAACCGAAGAGGGAGGACCCCATTCCACCACCATGTCAGTCAGCTCTGAGACAGCCACCTCCAGCTGACACCCTGCCTGGACTTCAGGACTCTCCGGTGCCGTCTGTCCAGCATCCCAAATGAGCAAGGTGACGTGAGCACCCCCAGGAAGCACACTAGCCTGGTACAAGTGCTTCCATGATATTTAACTCCACATCAGCATTGTTTCCAGAGTTGGTTCCTGAAGACAGCAGGATGGTACCTGCTCCCGAGATGAGCAGTAGAGAGGACCCTGTGGCCACTAGAGTAACTACAAATGCAGATATCGCCTTCCCTCTGGGTGTTTAAAATAGAGAAATAGTGAGAAATTGCCTTGGTGGGAGAACAGCTAGGAGAGAGCGGTGGACTCTATTTCTTTGGACACTTGCTCGCTGGTTATTTGAAGGTACGTCATTCTCAACGCAATGGGTTCTGCCTTACTATAAAAAAAAAAATTAAGAAATTCTGTAGTGGATAGCATAGGCTTTCCAGGGAGATTGGGGTTGGGAAGGGTGCATTGGTAAGAGACTGCATCATGTTTGGGGCACTCTCATGGAAGATGCAGTGAGGAGTCCCCAAGAGGAGCCCAGAAAAATGCACCGGAAAGAGCTAAGGATGCCAGGGATCAGGAGACAGCAAAGCATACCATGATGCTCTGAAATAGGGAAGGAACGGTGGCGTCTCCTCCTGGCCTCCTTCTCACAGGAGATGGCTTGCAGAAACCTATAGGACACTGGTGGAAGAACACCAGACCTCATCTTACCATTGACTCTACTCTAGTTTCTGCCTCCATTACCTTTCCCCTGGCCTTCCTATCTGGGCGTCAGCTCTACACTTGCCAAGGGACAGCACCAGGCCTGAGGGCTGTGGGAGGCCACAGATAGAGAGTCCATGTGGAGACTCAACCAGCCAACCACATCTAAGATACCCTGAGGTCCCAGAAGCTAGCCATGGCCCCGGGCCCCAGCTTCAGAAGCTCCCGTCATACAGCACTAGATGCACAGAATCAGACATGCCAGCCGTTCCTGGGCCCCTGATTCCAGTCCACCCTCCACGGCCTGTGCCAAAATTGTTCCTGGGCCCCTGATTCCAGTCCACCCTCCACGGCCCGTGCCACAGCCATAACCACTTCCGTCTTTGCTTCACATGTTACTTTGAAATAACTTACTCTGGATTTAAATGTAGTTTTAAATGATCCTTGTTTATTTATTTTGAGTAGGTGACAGCGCATATGGAGATCATAGAACAACTCTCAGGAGTCAGTTCTCTCCTCCCACCACGTGGGTCCTCAGGGATGGAACCTGGCTCCTCAGGCTTGGCAGCAAATGCCTTCACCTACTGAGTCATCTTGCTGTCCCTTAGATGAAGCACATAAGGCAACTAGACCTCCCTACTGCAAGTAGGTAGGAGAAAGCTCCCAGTGTTCACAAACGCCCTGGTGTGGTAAGGCACTTAGATCTTTTTAAATCGGGTGACCATGAATTCATTGCATTTCAGAAGATTAAAACTGGAGACCTGTCTGTGTTATACTCCAAATGAATCGCCACCATTTGAAAGTCTGGATGTTTTTCATGCGTGTGCATCTGCATCCACACCCACACAGAGATCCTGGTTTCTAGAGTCTCTTAAGGAGAAAAAGGCTCCGGCTCACACTCCCAGCAGCACTCAGCTGAGACTCAGGAGCGGCTGCCACCCACAGGGCTGCACTGTCTCACCTGCCTCAGCCCCTGGAGTCTCTGGAGTCCCACCTGACCCGCTTCCTTCACTAACCATCTGCCTGTCCCATCCCCATAGGCAATAAAGTCTGTGACTGCCATGGGGCACCCGAGGTTATGCTGTGGACCATGTCACCGTGTGTGTACCCTACACTGGGAAATGTGTGGGCCTCCCAAACCCTGACCAGGTGTTTGTGCAAGGTTACCCTACAGAACGGACCAACTTCTCCAATACTGCCTCTGTTCCTGCCTCTGCATTCTCCAGTGACCCCCAGCTGGACACCTCCTGCCTCATAGGGACCTAAGCAGTATGGTGCTTAACCACAGGGACACTGCACAGGGACATGTGCCTAGTATGAGTTCAGTTATGACGTAAATCACATTTTTAAAGCTTAGTACCAAAAAAAGAGGATGCTAAATAACTCATTAATAATTTTCATACTGATTTTGCATTGAAATACTTTTTTTCTATGTTGGATTAAATAAATATAACCACAATTAGTTATACATATTTCTTTTTACTTTTCTTAATATCTGCTAGAAAATTTCAAATTGTATCTACTAGTAATAGAATGATATGTATTAGCAAAACCCACATCTTCCACTAAAATTTCACTGGAAAAGTGGTTTGGATCTCTGATTTGCCAACTCTCTCCTCCCCTAGCAGAATTTCCATCATTCTGCAATGCAATTTATTTTTAAAAAGAAAAACAATAACCTGGATACCCAGAAAAAAAATCATGTTTGTTTTGTGTCCTGAAAATCCTGCAGTGAGCCTGGTGTGGAGAACTCACAACTGTAACCTTTCATAACTCAAGGAAAAAGTAGACACCACACCCCTCCCCCTGGCCTGCTGGCATCGGCCCCCTCTCCTCAGCTCTACCCTCTAGGACAAATCGGAAAAGACTGCGCCCACTTTCCCTCTTCTCCAGCATCTCACAAGACAGCAGGGCAAAAGAGAAGCAAATGGGCCGAGTGTTGATAAATTAGTGGGACTTAGAAAGTCAACACATCCATCACATGGGGATGCTGTGCATTGGGCCACCGTGTTGCCATCAGGACCAGAGGAGACCTCAGGGACACGCCAGTCTGACCACCTCTTTCTTTCGAGAGTGAGTTGTTCTCTGTGCTCAGTCTCAGCACTGGCCACAGTAGGCGTCAATTCCAAGACTTCTGGCTTCTTTTTCTTATGTGGGTTTTAGAGAACAATTGTTTATATTCATCTCATCATTTCATCTCCGACTGTGGGTTTGTTTGTTTGTTTAATTATTTATTTCTTTGGGTTTTGGAGGCAGAATCTCAAGTCTCTCACTTAGCAATCTCCATGTTGCTAAAGGATGATCTTTAACTCTACTGTAACTCCAGATACTGGGATTACAGACATGTACCACTACACCAGGGTTAGGTCATACTAGGGATGTAACCCAGGGCTTCCTGTGCACAAGGCACGCGCTCCACCAACTGGGCTATACCCGAAGCTCCTGCTTGTAGCCTTAAATGGATCAGAGACTGCACTATCTATAATAGAAAATCACCTTCTTCAGGTGGTGGTACATTTGTAACCCCAGCATTCAGGAAGCTGAGACAGGAGGGTCTTTTCAAGCACATAGCAAGTTCCAGGCCAACTAGAGATACACAGTGAGACTCTGTCTCATTAAAAAAGAGAGAGAGGGGAGAAAGGAAGGAAGGAAGGAAGGAAGGAAGGAAGGAAGGAAGGAAGGAAGGAAGGAAGAAAGGAAGGAAGAAAGAAAGAAAGAAAGAAA